GACCTCTGTCAGCAGGAGAGCTCATACAGCCTTAGATCCACTCTGCTTTTGCTGCCTGTCATCTAGAGGTTTTCTGGGCTAAGCCCAAATGACTGATGTCCCTGGGAAAGTAGGAACAGTCAGTTCTTTAGCAAAACACCTGTTTTTCCTTCTGCTGGGATGTTGTCTTTGGTCCTCTCACCTCCCCCAGGGGCAGGACCCAGCAAAGCCCCTCAGAACATCTGGCTGCTCCAGTTTTGGGAGGTGCTGGAAGTGAGGAAGGCCTGGGCTGAGCTGTGTGGTGCTTTAGGGAGAGCTTCTGGACAGTGGGTGTCTGAAAATGCCTTGGGATACTCCAGCTGCTCAGAAGATGGCATCCCTGACATTGCTCCATCTCCCCCAAAGTCTGTTCTTCAGCACATCTCTTAAGGATGACACGCACGGGTCACTTGCCATGTCAGTGAAGTGTTTTAAATCTCAAGTGGGACTGCAGAAAGGGCCATTTCTACGCTAACAGAACTTAACCTGAAAGTATCATGGGGAATCAAGGAGCCAGTACCTTCCCAAGGGAACCTGAGGAGGAACAAAATGCCACGTCATGTTGTTTTCTTTTTAAAGCTATTGCTTTGTTAAGACAGATGACAAGGTAAAAACCTTAGAATCACAGAATCGGTCTCCCCCGAGCCTCCTTTTCTCCAGGCTGAACACCCCCAGGCCCCCCAGCTGCTCCTCACAAGACCTGTGCTCTAGATCCCCTCTGCCAAGCACAAGGAAATCCTTTCATGGGGAGTCAGTGCTGTGACTTCCCCCCTTGCTGAGCAGCAACATCTGCACCATAACCGGGCTGGGCTTATACCTGTCCTCCAGCAGGTCACAAAAAGATTTAGGGGCAAAAACCCATTGGATGTGGGGGCGCCCTCATGGTTTGGGGCTTTCCAAACATTTTTGGGATGGCATCCATGCCCTGTGCCTGCCAACACCCTGCTGTGCATCCAGCTTCTCTCTGTCTCTGCTCCCCTGACAGCCCTCCTGTTTCTATAGAAACGGGATGGATTTCCAAAAAGTACATGGCAACTGAGACCTGTGGAGGGAGTCACAGCCTGAGGCAGGGAAGGCTGCAGAACAGACGCCGCAGTTTCACACACAGCACGGCCCTCTTTGTGCCACCGTGGCAGCTACGTGCGCTGCTTCGTGCTTCTGCCACATCCAAGGAATACAGACATTTCTCCCTGTGCTGGATGCCTTTTCCATAAAACGCCAACAATTCAAGGAGGCGAAAAATTCAGTGTTTGGAGGGATGCTTTCCAGCTGAGAACCAGGTGCTTTCTGACAAATGAATGATGAAGAAAGCCCTCAATCCCAATGCACCAAGCGATTCTCTTTGCTCAGATTCAGGTATTCCCCTAAGAAATGGGCATTTTAATACCTTCCAAGTCCATCATTTAAATATTAAGACCTCATCTTTCTCCAGGTCGTCTTCAACCACCTATAAACCTCCATGGTGGCTCATGAAGGCAGCATCAAGCTGCAGGGTTAGGTCCTGCTGGCTTCCTTCTTTTCACTCGCAGCACCATGAGTCACCTGGAAACCTGCAAACTAAATCCCCAAGCTTCCACTCACACCCACTCCTGGCTCAGTCAGCCCTAAAAATGCAGTTTTAGAAATGGAAAAGATTTTCATGGTTGCTATGCTATAAATGAATACGTCTGAATCCAATCCTTGCCCATCTTTGTCCTGGGATGACCGTGGAAGGTGTTACATTCAGGATCAGCTCTCTCATCACTGCTTTTACAGGCAACAAGGAAACAGAGAAAACCTTGAAGTCAGGTCACACACCATCTGTTCTTACTTTTTATCAATGCCCAATTCCAAGCAATTTTTGTTTTTGTACTGCTAGTAAAAGTACACCATAAAATGAGCATGTCATTCCTATGAAAGAGAGTACAATGACAGAACTTTTGATGTACAACCAACAAAATGAGAAGAAAAAAATGAAATAAAATAGCTTATTTATCACCAAATGGGTTGATTTCTCCTGGGAAAACAGAGAACTGTGCTTGGTTCCACAGCTGGTGATGGTAAGCAGGACATTCTGTTTGTCTCACATGTCACATCTTGTACTTTCTAGGGCTTTTTACACCTTATACAATGTTAATGTTCAATCATGCCCCTGTAAAACAGCTACCAGGGAGCTGTGACAGGAAACACACAGTTTTAAAGGTGTGCAGATTTTTTCTAGTCTGAAGAACTATCCAGAATTTTTTTCTGGATGCTTTGTTTTCACTGACATGACTCAAAAAGCCATGCTAAATATCAGAGACTGCACAGGGGGAAGCTGGGCCTGGTTGAAGTTAATAGCATCACTAGCTCTTGTATTTTTCTTGTATTTCTATGTGTCAAACAAAGGGGGTTTCACATCAGTTGGCAGCATTCAAGCCATCATCGCCAACACTCCAGCTGGCGGGCTCGAGAGAAGACCTAATCTACCTTTCTGCCATCCACCACAGACCCATTAGATTTCCTCCTATCCCCACTACACTCACCCCCACAGGCCAGAAAGAGAGACAAGAGCCAAGGAAGCCAGGGAGGAAAGGAGGAAAGTCCCTTCCTTGGGGCAGAGATGTTAATACTTGTTGAAAGCGATGCAAAGGAGGAAGAGGAGCCCCCCACCACCTACTTCAGGCACCGAGTCCATGTCCTGCGCATGCGTGGAGACTCGCCCCAGGGCCTCGGTCGGCGTGCCCGCCGGCGAGTGGCTTTGCTGCACCAGGTCAGGGAGATTGATGTGACCTGCAAAGCCATTGCTGGCTGCGTGGCCAGAACGCTTTTTTTCACCAGAGGTCTGCAGAGACACAAGGTGTGAGGAAGAAAGAGAAAGGGGGAGGGGGGAAGAGAAAAAGGAGAGAAAAAAAACCAACCAAACAAAACCAAGTCGCTGGCAGTCCCCACCCCGTTCCCAGAGGGAGTGCAGGAGAAGGACCCTCTCTGTCTCCACCCCCATGCAATCTGGCAAGCAGCAATTCAAACCCCCCACCCCAGAAGAAATAAAGACAGGATTAATCACAAAGTCAATACAGAATAATTAGCCACGTTACAGCGAGAGAAGCCTGGTCACTGTCCTTTGGAGACAAGGAACGCAGGACAGATTCTGCTCTTGCCACCATGGGTGCAAACCCCATGGCCAGCTCTCCTCCCACGGGCAGAATCCGACCCCTGGAGCAGCGTTAGCCTGCACAGCTTTGCAGAGCAGCCCGACTGCAAATGCCAACGTGGGCCCCGACGCATGTTTCTGTGACCCAAACCAGCAGTGAACAGCCCTGAGGTACCCTGAGGTACCTCCTGCAAGGCAGGTTCCGGGAAGTTTCTCCCTTCCCTGCTTAGCATTTTGAGGCATTTGCCATTTGGATGAATCCCACCTGCCTGGAGCACATCAATGAGACTATCACAGAGACTTGCCCATTCACTGGGATGAGTGGAAAACTTCTGAACAGGCTCACCAAGTTTCCCACTGGTCCTGACAACATTGCTTTTTTGACACTCATTAACCATCACCTTCAAGCACCTTGCCATCCCACCAAAGAGCGAGAAGCCCTTTGGCCAAAGCCCAGTGACCCCAGCCAGCCTGTTTTCCAGCTACAGGGGTGGTTTGGGTTTCTTATCATGCTCCCTCCTCCCAGAGGGGTTTCCCAGCTGCTTGTCTCACCTGTGGCTTGTGAACCCTTCTGAATCACTGGTTTTGTCATACAGTCTTGCTGGCATGACAGGTGTTTTACAGAGGTGATGCTTGACGCCCAGCCCACCTGGAGAAACTGTTGCCTGTTCCAGCAGTGACTTGTTCTCCTGCTCAACCACATCCCCCTTCCTGCCACAAGGCTGCAGGGACCCCTGCTCTGAACAGCTCCAGGCCAGCAAGGGAGGAGGTGGACTGTACACTGCTACCCACCTCCAGAACTGGTGGAGAAAGGCAGCAAACACGCTGTGACTGCTTTTGCTAACTCATTCTTCTCTTTCAAAGTCACATTCTGTTTTTTTTCTCGTTCATATGTATTTTATATAAATGGAATTGAGAATTAAAATGCTGCTCAAGTCTAGTTTGCATTTGATCTAAACATTCCTCCTTTAGGGCTCCTGACTCCCAACTCCCCTCCCTCCTTCTGTCCCATCTACCTCCTTTACATTCTGGCAGGAGAGCGACTCGCCTGTCTTACTAACTGCCAGAGCCTCCTGCCCCCTCACCAGCAGATCTGCTTCCCATCTGCGTTTCCAGCAGCATCACCAGCACGTGCCAGCAACTGGGAAACTGAGAAACACTGGGGGAGATCTTCCACAGCCAACTGTATGTGACTCCTCTGCCCTGCTGCTGCAGCACTCTCACAGAGTTGTAGAATAGTTTGCGCTGGAAGGGACCTCAAAGATTGTCTAGCTCCAACCCCCCTGCACCTTCCACTAGATCAGGCTGCTCAAAGCCCCATCCAACTTGGTCTTCAACACTTCCAAGGAAGGGACATCCACAACTTCCTGGGGCAACCTGTTCTAGTCTCTCACCACCCTCACAGTGACGAATTTCTTTCTTCCATCTAATCTAAATTTACCCTCTTCCAGTTTAAAGCCATTATTCCTTGTCCTATCACTACATGTCCTTGTAGAAAGTTCCTCTCCATCTTTTCTGTAGGCTGCCTTTAGGTACTAGAAAACTGCAGTAAGGTCTCCCTGGAGCCTTCTCTTCTCCAGGCTGAACCACCCCAGCTCTCTCAGCCTCTCCTCCCAGCAGAGGGCTTCCAGCCCCCTGATCATTTCTGTGGCCTCCTCTGGACCTGCTGCAACAGATCCATGTCTTTCTTATGCTGGGGACCCCAGAGCTAGACATAGCACTCCAGGTGGGGTCTCACCAGAGCAGAGCAGAGAGGCATAATCACCTCCCTTGACGTGCTGGTCACACTTCTTCTGATGCAGCCCAGGATATGGTTGGCCATGTCCATCAGAACTGCTCCACCACAGCCTTACCTCTGCAATGCTGGGGATGGGAACTCAGATCCATGTGGAATACCCAGAGCCCCCCACAGGCAGCCTGCTAGGCGAGCACAGGACGGGCTGGCTGGTGGGGTGGGGGGCTCGGCCCTCCCTGAGCAGGACCAGCCCCTGGTAGAAGCCTCCAAATGCTCTACAAATACCACACACATCTGATGGTTACACGGTGGCAAAGGCTGGGGATGCTCTGGGCCAGGTTCCAGCTATAGTAACTAAGTGCTGCAAACTGAAGAGAACACTTCTTGCTTGGAGGTACTGTGGGATTACAGCAGAGTCATTTGTATGAGCATCCTTCCTGCCGTGCCCTGGCACCACTATTCACTGCTGTTTGTAGTTCTGAGAAACATTTGCCCTTGTCACATTTGCTCCAGAGTGTAAATTGTATTAACAAGAGCACTAACGAGCACAATTTACTCAGTCATTTTGTGTTCCGGACACACAGCACTGTGAGTTTTTGTGCTTACATGGGCAAAACCTCCTGAAGATGCTCCAGGGAAATATTGGTATGATGACTTACCTCCCTCACCATTAAAGTCCCTTCCCTTGAAATATTGCTAAACGTATCTGCATGGGAAGTCTCTAGCCCGTGGGTTGTCACCATTCCCAGGCTGTACGGCTCATTGCTCCCAGGAATTCCTGTGGGTCTGAGGACAGAGTGGAGAAGTATTAATGGTGAGTATTTCCTTTCGTGAACTAGGTGAAAAAATCCTTGAATATACTGTTGTTTCAACCAGGGTGAGACTTTCTATCTCACAGAAAACAAAATTAGAAAATATACCCACACAATATATAAGGAAATGAAGTTGTTGGAAATACAGGACCAGGGTCAGGTTGATACACTACAGATAGAGCACGGAGACCAAAGAGAAGGGTCTTTCTCATCCCTGGGTGCCCTGAGAGGAGCACTGATGGACAGGTAATGAGGAGCTGCACTCCCACTGTACCTTACATCACTTTTTCTACTTAAGATAGTTTTATAAAAAATAATTCACTCCCTTTGTTCTCCATCTCAACCTCTGAAAAGGGACCAGGGCATCAGAGCACCGAAGACAAAAGACAAGAAGGGAGGGGATGGTGTTTGGAGAAGGCACAGGCAGGAGTACAGCTTGTGTCCTGCACCTCTCTGCTGCTCTCCAGGTGAAGAAGTAGCTCTAATCCATGACTTTACCTTGAGTTTATTTCTGTGCTCCCATCTTGAGAGAAAGGCTGGAATTTATTTTCATGCACATGAATTTTTAGGACTGTCTGAGAGTGGATGTTGCAGGTAGTGAGCAGCCACTGGGACTTTATTATTACGTTCTTAGCAGATCAGCTGCTTAAATATAATTCAAACAAACCCAAAAGCAAACGGTGAAGTGCCTCTGGATTACCCAGCCCTGCCTGTGTGCTGGAGAATGCCAGAGGTGGCTAGGAAGATGTTGCCAATGAGACCTGCTACTTTGCATTTGAAAGCCACACAGGCCAGTTCTTTCCATCAGTCTGAAGTAATTCACTCTTTACTATCAGTCTGAAGTAATTCACTCTTTAAGTTGTCATCCCAGTGCACACTCCCTTGTCGGTATCCAGAGGCTCATGAGGGAGCCTGGTAGCGTGAAAAAGCCAAAGTAAACCTGCATTAATCCAAGGGGGCTACTGGTCCAATGTAGGGGACCCCAAGGTGGGACTGGCCTGATGATGGATCCTTGTCTGCATCATATCAAATGTACGACCAGACAGACATGACCAAAGCACTCCAAACAACAGCAGGCCATAATTCTGCAGCACCTTTCACTCGAGGAGCTCACACCTTCCTACCATTAGCTTTTCAACACCATCAAATGGTGAGAAAAATAACATATTAATTCCAGTTTTAGAAATATGAAAATAGAGACAAAGGAGGTTATATTAATTCTGAGACCATAAGGTAGGTGTGTGAATGGCTGTGATAGACCTGGCATTCCAAATTTCATCAGCATGCAGTTTCCATGCCACCCTGCACAAAATTCCTGGACACGAGCAAGAGCTGGCCTGCCCAGCTCGGAGGAGAGGTAGCTGAAGGGAGTCACCATAGCTTCCAGATGGAGAAAAGGTATCCACAGAGGTGGAAGAAGTAAATGGCCCCTCCTATGCTCTGGGACGCAAAGTGATGGATGGGCTTATCCCACAGCAGGAGAGACCTGGTCTGAGCTGGAATGAAGAGCTCCCCAGTGCTCAAGGAGGATGTTTATAAAAGGGTTATACAAAGATCACTTGGAAGGTGGAGGAGAAGACAAGATGCTTTCTTGGTGCCAGTTTCTAATAAAAAATACTGAACATAGGAAAAATGCAGGTTTAACAGAAAAATACCCAACTACATCTAGTCCAAACTTGAGTTAAGATAGCTTTGTGAAATGAAAGTGGAAAGCCCAGCATCTGCTTGCATCCCCAGACACAGCATGCAGCCATGCTTGCAGATACCCGTGAAGCTCAGATACAGACAGAGCTTCTGCCACCTCACTGTGACACCAAGGGTTTGCATCTCCATGGTCAGTCTCTGGGGCATGCTCATCAACAGGACATTATGGGCAAGTGGTGGGTTAGAGACATCCACCTCAGCACCATGCCTGTCATCCAACACATCTGGCTGCAGACGGTTCATAGAGGTACTTTATCCACTGAGGAGTGCTGTGTCAAGCCCAAGGAATTTGGTGGAAGGATGTCAGTACAGATTAACCGCTCCTGATTAAACTCTTCTTCTGCGAGCAGCCTGAAGCTCCTTCTTGGACACATGACTGCCCATCCAACTGCTGCACATTCACAGATATCCCTCTGTCTCTTGATTGTCTCCAAAGAATTCCAACAGCTGTGATTTTTCTTCTGCTGCTGCAAGGAAGCTCCAAACCAGAAGCCTGGCACTCTGTGTAAAACGGACCACCTAGATCTCCTTGCTGCTCAGTGCCCAACCACTATGAAGCAAGGTACACCTATATCCATTGATAATTCATTTAGCAGAATGGAAATTAACTGATTAAACCACAAATGACCCCCTAAAGCCTTCCCGTAACTCCTCTGTGGATTCAAAGTGGCAGGGGTCAGACCCCACTGAAAGGCAGAGAGCCCCCAGAGCCCACCATGTTTTGCTGCCTGCACAGTGACTGAGCCAAGGACATAAACCAAAGACAAAGATTCAGAATTGTAATTCTGGCTCTACCAGTTGGCACTGGGCAGGCCACCAAGTACTGTGATTCAGCACGGCCTGGTTTGGGGCAAGACCAGGCTCAGGAGCAGGCAGAGCTTTAACACACCAACCCCATGGGCAGGACCCAAGGTGTGGATGAGGCCAGGTCCAGTCTGGCAAAAAACTCTGTTCATCGGCAGGAACGAGTCCGTCAGCTTGGAGTCCAAGTTCCCTGAATGTGCACTGGAAATAACTCTGTTTTAGCCATTAAGTGCAACTAGTCTGGACCAGGAAAAGGACTCATCAGATTAAATTATCCCTCACAACCATGACCCCACTCCCAGCGGCAGCCACCAAAGACCGACACACCTGGGACATGCCCCGTATCACAGCTACTGCTCCTCCAGCCCAAGACACGCCACGGCCTCAACAGCTGCCCCACTGACAGAAAGTGCTTCTTACATAAGCCGTGGGATGTCACTGACAGGCACGGTCCCATCATGTGTCTCATTCTCCCCATCCTCCTCCTCCTCCTCGCTGCTTTCCGACTCCTCGCTGGAGGAGGAGTAGTCTGTCACCTTCTTCAGGGGGCGATTGGTTTCTTCGATGCGCAGCTCCCTCAACTCTTTGGCTAAGGCCGTCAGATCCTAAAGGGAATGGGGGCAAGAAAAGAAGAAAGCAATGGCTATTACATTTAAAGCGAGGAGAAGGTCACATACATCTCTTCAAAAGCCAATGCTAACAGCACAAGCAACGAGAATTAGCTTTACAGAGTCGTTACAAACATGAGACGAACGTAAGACAATGTTTGTAGCATGTAGCATTTATTAAACAAAACAAAACTGATTTACGCTCACTGAAAAATCAATAGCCAACCTCTTCTTTTTCTGTTTGGAACGTGTATGTGCATATATATACACACACTTATATGTATATACACGACAAAACTATATTTGTTGGAAAAGGTGAAGTTCAGTCACCATCATAGTAAACTGGAAAACATCATTTCAAAGATTGGCTCAGAGAATTTCTCCTGCAGGGTGTTCTCTTCTTTCCAACTTCTCAAAGAGACCCCGTAATTGTATTTATTCTGTAATAAATGCATTTGGGAAGGAAGCAATGACAGCGTCTCCCATGGAGTGGTGCAATCCCCACGTCCAGAGCTGCTTCCGTGGCGAGTGCCCACTGTCGGGCAGCTGCCGAAAGGCAGTGAGGAGCACGAGGAGAAGCGCCCAGCTCAGCCAGACTTTGGAGTCACAGCTCTGAGTCAGCCACACGATCAAGAATAAATAAATAAATTAATTAAAAACAACAAAAAAATATCCCTCAGTGGGACCCATTAAGCACTTTATGTGAAATGTGGCAGCCTACAAGCTAAGGGGAAAAAAAAAAAACCCAAATAAAAAACAAAACCAAAAATAATGAAACAAGAAAAAAGGTAGGAGCAGTCCCAAAGCCTAGTAAGAATTTTTCAGTTTACCATGACTTTGATGAGGTCTCAGACCTGACAGTCATATAAAATAGACACTGCTTCAAAACAAGGAACATGGCAGGCACCGTGTAGTAAAGAGACTGTTTGTTATCTTACATGCTTTTATAGCAATGCAGGGGGAAGCAGTAGGGCAGAAAAGCATGAGAGCTCGAATTAGAATGGGTTAGAGAACTCTGTTGCACAAGACATGCACATGACGAACAAAGCATCGCAAATTGTCAGTCTTACCATTTCTCCCTATATTAGTGACCGAGGTAGCCATCAGTGCATTCGGTCAGAGATAAAGGATTAGGGAGAAAGAAACTCATTGAAAAAGACTAAATTCCACAATTGTCTTACGGCCACACTCTCATTTACTGCATTTCCAGTTTACCGTTCCAGCAGGGCGACTACGGCAACATTAATTAGCAAAGGGAGCTCTTAACAATCTATCCCGTTGAGATGTGAAGGAGAACGATGGAAAACCTCTCTGGCCGAGATGCAAACCCGGTTTTGTTTTGGCATTGTGAAGCAGGAATATTTTGCAAGCGACTTGTACTTTGGTTATTGATGCCCCATACCTCCCAGCGGGCTCCCGCCAGTGGACAGTGGGACATTCTGCTCCCACATTCTGCTCCCGCATTCCGCTCCCGCCACTGCCCTGCCTGCCTTCTAATGGGGAGGAGAGACTCCCATGGACATCAGAGAGCTTTGCAGCAGACCTACAGATATTAGTATACCAAAAAAAGCCCTCTTTAAAAAAAAACAAAAAAACCAAGGATCAATCCCTGCTCCACAGCAGGTACCTGTGATGGGTATTATAGATCCCTCTCCAAATGCTCTCTGTACCTTTAAAAAAGGGTTCTTGATTATGATTAAAGAGGGAATGTGGTATTTCAAGAGTTTATTTTTGATCCCAGTATGTTTGGGATTGAAATACAGTCAAATCTGCCGTCAAGACAGCTAATTATTTTAATTAGCGCTGTAGCAGCTTCTATGATCTGATTGTTTCTTTTCCTAAATAAGAATCAGTGATGATTTCAACAGCTTTACAATCCTTTCCATTTAGAGTATAAAGTATGCTCTTTATTGAGAACTTGCTTTTTGAGTTGGATTAGAGACTTCACAATTTTGAGAAGGATTTTAAGGCTGTGTAAGAGCCTCTTAAAATTGCAGCTGGACTTCCTGCACTGTAGGACTGGGACTGCATCCAGAATGTGAATATTCCTTCTTATTTCCACCTTCCAATTCTAACAGGCTTCAAGCCACCCTATCAGCCTTCTCTGGTCATCATGAGAAGACAGTCAAGTATTTTAAAAATCAGCTTAATTAGTTTTTAATAACTAATTTGGAAGTTAGAACAGCAATAGTACTCCCAGATGGAATCATCAGACAACTGGTATTTCCTAGCTACAGCTTTGCCTTGGGATGGTTAATTCTTTGATGCTATCATCTTCTCTAAGTAATAAGCACTTTGTAGGATTAAAGAGCTTCACTGAGTTGCTCTTGGACCAAAAACAATCTGACAACTAGAAAATGCTCTGCAATTCCACATGTGGATGAAATGTTATTACTGAGGGTGGCATAATACTGAAGTTAGCAATATCAGTGCTCCTTAATTACTTTTAATTACAAAGGCTTCTTTAAGATTTAATATTTGCTGGAATCAAATCAGATTGGTTTCCAAAATCACACAGCTCATTGAACTTGAATTAGCACACACGCTGCCTCGATTTAGACATTGATTTATATGCTTTTTTCTTAACAAAGCACCTCATTAGACAAAATGCATTGCTCATGTTTTATCCAAGGCAACAAGATAACTAGCCAGCACATCTTCTATTTTTAGAGGAAAGAGGCTGCAGGAGAGATCACTGATATCAGTGCCTTCCATTACAGCCCTGCAGTTCTCAGTATCAGCAGCGTGTACACAGTGATGCGTGTGTGAGGCAAGTCAAATGCTCAACCTGGAGTGTTTGGGCTTTTCCCATAAGCATACAAACATTCACCATCACCTGATGCAGGCACATTTTATCATGTGGTGAAAAAGGTGTAATTCCGGACTCTTGCTTTTATAAGAGGATGGATGAAGACCAGCATTGCCTATCAACACCTGAGGGGGCTCCGCTGACTGACAGCTGCTGGCCTTGTCCATGAGGACGAATTACCCACCGCATTTGCCAAGCTCCTCCATTCCAATTAGGCTTAAAATTCACTTCAAACAGCGCTGGATGGCCCCATGGAAATCCGTGGGGGCCGCGGGCTGTAGCTGGGAGCAGAATGCGGCGACCGGCGCGGGCTGCCCGGACCACCTCCACCGGCACCAGAAACTTCCAACTCTCGCTCCTCCTCTTTCAAATGCCCCCGACAAGGGCAGCAGCCCTCACTCTGTGCCTCAGCGTCGGGGAGCTTCTCGCCTCTGTGCCAGCCGGCGGGTCTCGGGCAGCCCGGGGCTGAGCAGAAGGTGCCGGCAGTGCCGCTCCCCTCCCCACGGGCAGGCTCCCCACGCCAAAACGCAACCCGTGGGGGTCTCCCGGCTGACCCAGGATCGCATTGCCACCTTTTTCAGCATCAGCACCAAGAAAACGTGGCTTGAGATTAAGCGCTAACTAGTCAACCTTGCATAGCCATGACCCGCTGAGAAAAGATATCACTAACCTCATCTATAGCTTTCTTATAGCTCTGTGGGTAAAGGAAGAATAATCAGCATCAGAGGAAACAGATCGGGACAGGAAAAAGCCAGAGGAAGGGCAAGCAGGTTAGAAATAAAATTAGAATTGTTAGCTCAACGCTGTGGAGTGTAGAGAAAAAAAAAACAACACATCATCATCAACAAAACATTAATATACATTCAAAAAAAGAAGCAGTGGAAATTCATTTTGTTATTAGGCCAACTCTGCAGTTTTAAAATATAAATGTCAACAGCATTAAACCAGGCAGAAACACTTTGGCTGAGAGTTTGCTCAGAGTAATAACACGGGAGCGTACAGAGACCACCGCCAGGTTCGGTTTTAAGCTGTGAAGGCTGCTGGGGGTGGTCACCCAGCCCTCCCGAGCAGAGTGTCCCTCCGCCGGGCTGCTGCGAGGGGACATGCAGCACGGAACACAACAATGTGCCACTGGCAACCGCTACGCCCAAGCTAGCGAAGCCCTTAAGCATCTGCTTCACGTGGAAACACAGGCTTAAGTGCTTTCCCTTAGACTTGGGCTTCTCATAAAAACTCATGCACTCTCTTAAGCATTCCCATCTCCCACGGGCTCTCGCCATACCGCCGCTTTCCAGTCTCCCCGCTGGAGAAGCGACGGTACCAGCCTCTTTTCTGGGGTCCCCACAGTTGGGCTACCACACCAAAGGGCAACGTGGCCAAGCCAGCTAGCAGCATTCCCACGGGAAGGAATTAAAGACTCACAGCGGGTCGGCTCGGTCGCGTCACGTCCCTGTTGTCTTCCTGCTTTACCTTGGCAGGCTCATGGGAGAGCACGGGGGACCCTTCGGGCTTGGCGTTCCCTGGGCGAAAGGCAAACGGAGAGAGCGGGAATTAAAACGCTGCTGAAAGCTGTCACTGCATCCTGCTGCCCAGGACAGGCACGGGCTTTGCCATCGCTTTGCTTCTGTCCTCTAGAAGGAACCCTCCTGCTCCTCTCTGCTTGTCTGTCGCTTCAACAAGTCTCCATCAACACAGCAGAAGCCATAACCCAGCCCAGACCCTGCTGACAGCCGTCTCACAGTGTTACTGCCATTTTTTCTACTAGAGAAACAAACTCACTTTGGAAAAGAGCAGGGCACATGGTAAATGAAAAGCTCTGCAGCATCTGATGTTCCTAGGATGTTACCTGTCACAGAATTCCTCACTAGTAAAAACCAAACCAAGAAGGACAATTGGTGATAAACTTTTTTTATCGACTACCTAGAGCAGGGATGATTTCAACAACAGACATGTCATCTTATGGCCAAGTGATAAAAAATTCAAAGCATGGAGGCAGCATTTGTTTTAATGCACTCCAGCCCTGGGGATTTATGCTGCAGGGCTGTGCCAGAAATGCAGATGTACGGGTTGTATGTGCTTCAGCAGCCCCTACTGCGATTAAACGGGGATATGGAATATCTTTATGAGTGGCTCTAAGATGAGAGGAAACGATTTGGCTAGGAACATAAACTCAGTGTCAGCACGGCTGTCTGGTGAAAGCATTTTTAGAGAAAGCTTCTTATGGGCTAATTCACTCCTCTGCTACCATCTCAGGCTTTGCACGAATATGAAGCTTCAACCAAAAAAATATTATATATCCAAAGTGAAACAGCCTCCCAAAGAAGCTATCACAGAAGTGAGCTTGGGTCGATGGAGACAGGAAGCACATTAGTTGTTTTTTATTTTTAATCTAAAGCATAAACCTCATCTCCTTTTGTCCAAGCTACCTGGCACTGTGCATGATGCCCTGCGCACCCTACACCAGGATCCTGGGCAAAGGGAATGTTGGCATCTCTGTCTGCAAGGAGGCCAGCCGGCCACAGAAGTACAGCAGAAATGATGGACCCTTCCGTTTTGTAATTTTTCAGAAAACACCCATGAGATCAGAGAGCCCGGTGCTAAGGGATGCCTCCAAGCACCTCACCTCTGACTCTGTTCCTCTCGCTGGAGCCAGCCTGGGAGCCAGGCTGGGACCCTCCCTGGGAGCTGGGCTGGGAGCTGGGAGTGCTGGAACTGGAGGAGCTGCCGCTGCTGGTCCTCTGCAGCGGGCTCTCCACGATGGGCTCTGTCCTCCTCAGGTCTGGGTTGCTGCAAGAGCACAAAACAGAGGGGCACCATCAGCGGGTGTCACATGTGCCTCCGAGGCTTCAGATCCTTCCCACAGTGACAGGGACAGCTGCAAAGGTGAGGAGACACCTCCTCTGTTGAGGTACACCTCCTCTGTTAAGGTCTTCTCTTCTGAAGCTCTACTGAGCCTGCAAGCTCCACTGACAGACTATGTAGAATTAAGCACTTGAACATCTTTATGGAGGTGCACCCACAACCATGACAGAAAATTGGCTAGAGAAGCTTTCTACTCTTTATTTTGCACAATTTAGCAACATTCAAAAGGTTTTTTGCTCAAAGCTCCCTTTCAGCCTGTTGATGTGCGGTGCTGGAGTTACCCAATTAACCACGGGTACTCATCATAACAGCAGGG